ACACACACACACACACACACACACACACACACACACACACACACACACGGGTGAGGGTCTTATCAATACAGTTCACCCATCCCTCTGTCTCCACCCTTGCAGGCAAACACTATGGGGTATACAGTTGTGAGGGCTGCAAGGGCTTTTTCAAGAGGACAGTACGCAAAGACCTGACCTACACCTGCCGTGACAACAAGGACTGCCTGATCGACAAGAGGCAGCGGAACCGGTGTCAGTACTGCCGATACCAGAAGTGCCTGGCCATGGGCATGAAGCGGGAAGGTAGGCTTCGAACATCCTCCTGCCCAGCATACTCTTCTCATCAGATCCAGGAGGCCTCCATTGTCCCCTTCCTCCGCATTCGTAATATGGAGGGATTTGAGCACAGAGTTCAGGCCTGACTTTTGCACTATGCCAGAATGTGGTGTAGCCTGGCAGGTTCCTTTGTACACATCCAGTGACAGGGTGCTCCCTCTCTTCAGTGCTCCACGGAGCCCCTGGCCTCTGCTAATTAAGACTGCTGTCTGTACAGCTTGCCTGTTGAAGGACTGCATTATACCAGCCCTTTCCCCAACCAGATTTTTACAGAGGGGCTTCCTGTATGGCTAGCTCGTGGGATTTTAGGATAGACAAGACAGGCTAGGTCTGTCCCACTGGCAGCTTGACCCCAAAGACAGGAGCTGAGAAATCTTTCCCCTATTGAGGTATGGCAGGGTGGAGCCAGCACAAGGCTGGGAGAGATTGTTCTTAGAGACCAAGCATCAGCCCAAAGCAGAGCAAAGGAGGCCGGGGTAGAAGTGGGAGTGAGGAGGGTGGGCAGGAGAGGGGGTGGTGCCCACATGGTCTCTGGCTGCCCAGTGAGGAGATGGTAAGGGGGGCCTGTGATGTGAAGCACACACACATTTGAGGGAGGGACCTCTAGAGACCACCAAAATATCCCCAGAGCCTGTTGATGTGAGGTTTCTCTTGGGCCCCCTTCTTCTTGAGGCCACTTCTGGTTTCATCCCTGGCAGGCTCACTGTTGACCCACAGGTCCTCTGAGCCTGGTTTATCAGCAACATGTGTATGTGTGAGGTAGGGAGGCAATGTTACAGTCCAGGCGCCTCCCCAGAGGTCCTAGGTGTACATTTTGTGGCTAGACCCTTAGGATCCCCGGCTATGTTGTTTCCTCCTGGCCTTGCGTGTGGAACAGCAGTTCTCTAGTTAGGTGTGTGTGTCTGTGTGGGTGCCTGGTTGAGGTTCTTCCATCAGTCTGGGCCCAGGCCTCACAGGGCAGGGCACTCTCAGAGCCAGGGACTACTGCTCTGTCTCCAGCACTGTCCCCCTAGCTCTCTCTGTCTGGGTTGTGCAATGACTATTGTGTATCCTTCCACATTCCCACCAGCTAGTTCTTCAATTGCCGCTGTCCAGGACCAGCCTGAGTAGGGCCAGTTTGGGGGTTTGCTTTTCTCTTCATGTTGACCTCTTTTGGTACATTCTGGTCCTGTTCATAAGAAGCCCTGTGCTCCTATGGGATTCTTTCATGTTGTGAGGTCAGCTGGGGTGTAGGGATTCCAGCAGCCTGGTCCTCATTCCCAGTGCTGGTGGTGGGGCAGCAGACACAGAACTGGGTGCTGTGGGGCTGGAGTGTGCATGTGTATACCCAGCCGGCACATCCTGCTGGGAGTGCGCTGCCAAGGTAGCCCGTCTTTGGGCTACCATATGCCCCCAGGGAGCACTTATTAGGAATAGTCAATGTGGCACATCCTCTAGAGAATAGGTGCTTGAGTGGGTACGCCTGGGTGGGCTGTCGCCAGGAGGTAGAATGGGGGCTGTGTGACCCTCTCAGGAGCAGAGCTCAGCCCTGAGCCCACGCCTTCTCTGTGTTATTGTTCCTGGTGATGGGTACCGTTAATGGGCTCTAGGCATGAGCTCCTGTACCCTGAAATTGACCATCAGATAAACAGGTAGGTCCCAGGCTTTGGTCAGGAAGAGCATGGTAGCTCGTACCTGAGCCAGACTTGGGTGGTGAGCATAACTCTGTGCAGGGCTATGACCCAGCTAACACTGGAAACTGAACACCTGGCACTGTGTGCCAGCTGAAGAAAGTAGTGTCTGAAAGCCATGGCTGCCAGCAGGCATGTGGTGGTCACTACAGTTCTGACCCCAGAGAGGGACCCTCTAGCTCATGTGACCCTCTCTTCCCGTGCCCCATGGGTGCTGCCTGGACTTCCAGAGGTATGGGCATTGTAGATGATGTCCCCTAGTCCCAATGGAATGGTACGGTCTTGAGGTGGAGGTGCTGCAGTCATCAGTCTAGGTCTTACCATACACTTCCTGTGGGTGGAGCACTGAGCACCCCATGTCCAGTCCTTGCACATAAAATGCTCACCCTCCCCATGCATGTGCCTAATGCTACCCACCCTGCACAGAAGAGGAAGTGTGGTACAGAGAAGAGAACTCCAGACTGTCCATTTGCCTGCTCTGTTCCTTGGGCCATGCTGTGATAGCGTTTTGGCTTCTGAGAAAGGCTTTACCCATTCCTGTGGAGAGATGCACCCCACCCCCTACCCCATGCCTTTGTCCCAGCTGGATTTCTGAGCCGGAAGTGTTTAGTATGAGCCCTGTGAAGCACTCTCTTACCCCAGACATAGCAGCCATGCAGCTTGGCTCCCTGGACTGCACAGGTTATGTATGTGGCAGCCGTAAGATGGTTGTGGGGCCCTCAGGCCTGGTAGGCATTGCCACCCAAGGGCTGAGCCTTGGCTGGGGGAGGGGACTTTCGCTTGCCTACCTGAGACCTGCCACATTTTTCAGTGCCTGTGGCCCCTAGTCCACAGCCTCACTCTTGAGCAGCCTGGGAGCCCGCCCTGCAGTATCTCTGGGAGGATTCCCAAGGGCCGGTACCCACTTCTGCCTGCACTTAGGTATTGGACATGGCTCCCACCCCACCCTGGGGTCTGGACCAGTCCCCAGAATGAATTCATATTTGATTCCTGCTGCTTCCCTGGGCGAACCACTAGAAGGAGAGTTCTGTGGGTAGTGGGTGGGGCTTTTGGCTACATGAGTTGGATATTCTGACAGCCTTTAGAGAAGCTGTGAGGCCAGGCTCCAACCTAGGGCCTTTGGCCCAGAGGATTCAAGACGTGTACCATTGGCTCCTGCTCTAGCTTAGGCCCTGAAGTAACCAGCCCTGGAGGGTAGCAGTCAGGAGTCTTGGAGCCCGTATCTCATGATCTGTCTTCCAGGCTTGATCTCACATAGCCCTGGGAACTGAGGGTAGTGTGGAGGTGCTGTGAGGAAGGAGCTGACCACAAGAAGGCCATGTCTTTCTGTGGAGAAGCCCTGCCCTGGAAGAGGCACGCTGGCTTCAGGCTGCTGAAGGATGCTGCAGGCTGATAGCATCTGTGTTGGGCAATAGCAGGGGCCTGCATGTGCAAGCAGCCACAGGGACTTGTTTGGCAGCATTCTCCAGCTGGGGGTGGGCAGTGCCCTTCGCAGGCTGAGCCTGGGCCTGTTGGCTAGGGCAGGTGGTGGGAGGGCTGGGGGCCTGCAGGTGCGACGCTCTGCAGGCTGAGGAGACTGCACACCACACACCCCGGCCTCAGCTCCCTTCCCCTGAGGCCTCTTTGCATTTCCTTCCTGACTCTCTCAGCTTCCTGCACCCTGTCCTCTGGCTCTGGAGCACGAGGGTGCGGAAACGGCAGTTTCTTCTGTGAGTGTGCACACGCATGTGCGCAGACAAGGATGAGCCCACCATTTCCGCTGTAGGGAAATGGCCCTGGCTTAGTTGCTTCTCTAGGTTTATGACTTTGCCTCTCTGGGCCTAGTGTCCCCATCTGAACTGTGGGGCTTCAGCAAAGGCCCCTGTTGGTGGAACAGAGAACATTCTCCAGCTGGGGGTGGGCTTGGAGCATTGCAGCCACGGTGTATTTTTGTGCCGAATCTGTGTTTGTGCTTGTTTGCATGTCCATGTCTTCACTCTTCTTGTGAATTGTCCCAGACTTTTCCTTGAGTCGGGGGGGGGGGGGGGGAGGGCATCCCTTTGAGCTGCAAGGACCTTGATGTACTGTGTGGCCTCAGAGAAGAAGCTACCACTCTGGACTGTCACTGCCTGGGTATGAGGAAGGCCAGTTGGTAGAATCTGGGCCTGCCTATCTCAGTGCTCAGATCTGGGCTTATGAGGAGCAGAGTTTGTCTGCCAGTTTCTAGCAGACAGAGCCCCAAACGGGAGAAATTAAGCTCTGGGATACCCTTGTACCCCAACACTCTATTTGCTTAAGGCCCCTCAGGTCTGCTTGGGCCCGGTGGCTGAGCAATCCGCAGACACTCTCGTTTGACTGTGTCCTAAATGGGGATCCAGGTGTTCTGGAGGAGGGTCATCTGCTCAGCCTGCAGCTGCATCTCTGAGGACTAACCGCAAGCTGCAGGCACCACCGGCAGGCAGAGGGAACCTCAGTCTCTGAGGCAGCCACCTCCCCCGCAAGGCCTGCGCGGGCTTGGAAGGATAACGAGGCTCTGTATTTACAGACGCCTCCCGCCCGAGGCTTCCCGGCGCCAGTGGAGCATAAGTCAAACATGAGTGCGTCTAAAAGGTGATTGAGCTGGCAAAACATAAATCCCCCGCTCCCTCTGCCCCCTCCGCTGTCTATAAATAAAACGATAATATTTATAACGATGCTGCCCTGAGCTGCTGGGGCCCTTGGAGGCTTCAAAGTGCTTCACAAAACATTTGCTAATTAATTCTCAGCTGCCCCCGCATGGGAGGCAGGTGTGAGGAGCCCCTCACCCACCCGGGGCCAAGCTTTCAGGGATAACTGGCTGCTGTGAGAGCCTGCTCTCTGGGTTGCCTTCCTCTGGGCTTCCCACATCCCAGGGCTGTCTCTGAGAGCAAGGAGGTCCCTTATGGGGAGTGAAACTGGGCCAGCAGGGTGGGGCTGGCCTGCTCAGGTGCTTCCTTCAGGGTCCTCTGGAAGGCAGGCTCTGCATTGACATTTTACAGGAAGTGGGGGTACAGATGCTAAAGGGGTTGCCCGAAGCACCTCAGCTGCTCAAGGTAGATCATTCCAGAGCCCATAGTTTGCTGTGGCACTTGCTCTCTCAGTCTGTTTCTCTCACCTGGGAAGGTGAGCTTGTTGAGTTGACATTGTCCTAGCCTGGGGCTGAAGAGTTCTGTCATCTGGCTTTGGGATATGGACTGCCTGGCTCTGGCTGCGATTGGTCTGTTCAGATGCCTGTCATTGGGGCTGTTTAGTATTGGTGGGGTGATTTCTCCAGGCCCTGTGCCAGGGTCCTCTGTGACTTGTGGAGTGACCCTAACCCAGATGCGCTGGCAGCCACGTGGAAGGCCCGTAGAAGCCCAGTAGAAGCCCAGCTGGGGAGGGATGGAGCCTGGCAGCCTCCTGCAGCCCCTGTAGGCTGGGTGCCATCTGCCCATAGCATTCAACCCTACACCAGCTCTGACCTGCTGTCAGATTTTCCAAAAGAGCCAAGCTTGCAAAACACCAGCCTCTGCCCAGCTCCTCAGCCCAGCTGGTATGCTCTGCAGGCATCAGAGCAGCCTCCCATCCTTGGCTCGTCCACAGGTAGGCAGTTGCTACAGCCAGGCCATCGAGTCTTGGGGAGCATAGCCCCAACACGGGAGAGCTGTGTTCACTCTGAACCTCACCTGAACACCTGAATGGGGTTGGTGGGCCCAGCAGGGAGCAGTAGCCAAGGGATTAAAAAACAAAACAAAAACAAACACTGCTGAGAGCCTGCTCCTGCTGCGGATGCTGCTGGCTGTGCTCTGTCACCGGAACCGAACCGGAGACTAGGGTTGAATGAGCTCTGACCAAGGTCCTGAGATGGCAGCCCCAGAAAGGTCTCATGGGCCACACCCTGGGCCCTTAGAAAAGGCCCTATGCTAGTGCCCTGCTCTGGAGAGGACACAGCCCAGGCCTCCACCAAGCCTACTGCAGGAGCACTGAATGGAGGGAGGGTTAGGACTCCACTGGTGCCTGCACGGTGGTGGGAGCAGCGTAGAGCAGGTTCACAGGCCCTCTCAGAGGTGGGCAGGAGGAAAGGCATGTTCTGTTGCTCCTGCTGGACGCCCTTCACTGGACCTGCTCTCCAGAGCTGTTGCAGGCCGGGCAGCTGTCGGAGTCTGTCCGCCCATGCCACTGTAGTTTTTTCCTTCCACGCCGCTGCCAACCATCCCCATGAACCGGGCTGCCCACCGCTGTCTGGAAGCTGTTGTCTGGTGTGTGGTCAGTGTGAAGCCTGGTGGACAGTCCCAAGGCCTGCGGCGTCATGGGGAAAGGGGCAGAGCTGTGTGGGCTGTGTGAGGCTGGGGTGCTTCTCCCGTCGGCGAGCATGGGGAGCTTGGGAACAGTGGCTGTGTGCCCTCAACGCGTGCACAGCATGGCTCTGATTGTCCCTTGCTCTGGCTTATCACTTCAGTAGTCCCCTGTTTACCACTGTCATCACTCCCTGTTCCCAGTCAGGACTGTGCCCTGCATTCCTGTGAGCATTTTTATACATTGTTTCTTCTGCTGAATTAGTTTCCTCATTTTGCTTCCTCCTTCAGGGCCATTCATATTCTTCCAGGAAGCCTTCTTGGGTTTCCCCACATCCTCAGAGCACCAAAGCCTTGAAAAGCCACATCAGTATTTCTGTGACCCTTCCGCTCCAGGAAGGGTCACCTGCCTTGACCTCAGATGGGCTCTGGGGTAAATACTAGCGGAGTATGCTCGGGGTGTACAGCCACCCAGTGGCCGGGTGTAGGCGGGTATGAGGCTGGGCTCTGAGTGTGCCTCTCTCAGCTGGCCCTGGAGGGGACTCCGGGGTCATGGGTGCACTGGCTAGGAGCTAGCCCTGCCTGGCCCTGAACATGTGCAGGAGGTTTTAGAAACTGTGGGCCTGGCTAGCCTAGGTGACTGTCTCCTGTTTATAGCTGTGCAGGAGGAACGGCAGCGAGGCAAGGACCGGAATGAGAGCGAGGTGGAGTCCACCAGCAGTGCCAATGAGGACATGCCTGTAGAGAAGATTCTGGAAGCCGAGCTTGCTGTTGAGCCCAAGACTGAGACATATGTGGAGGCAAACATGGGGCTGAACCCCAGTTCAGTGAGTCTCGAGATGTTCACCTGCCTCAGTTTCCCCCTGGTTACTCACTCATTTCCCCTCCTGCTTGAACCAATGTACCAGAGCCCTCTGGCCGCTGTGGCCTCTTGTTCCTACAGTGGGACCTCTGTGCAGTTGGGTGGCCCTGTGAATGCCTTACTCTGCCTGGGATATGCTGTCCCTCCTGCTGGTCTTGCTTTGTCTGCCCCTTCCAAATACTCAGCAGGGTCAAGGCCAAGCCTAGCTGTCACCGTGGGGTCTTGGCTCATGCGCGTGGTGAGGCTTGATCTCAGAGTAAGGGAATCCTTCGAAGACGCTGAGAGGAGCTGAGCCTGGGTAGAACACCGTGCAGCAGCTGCTAGGCTCCAGGCTGGTGCTCTCGCCAGTGTGTGGCTACAGGGTGACTTTCTAGAGCCTCCCTGTCCCATCCACAGCTAGGAGAAGGTGGAGGAACCGACAAGGAAGGTGCTTGTGAGTGGTCACCTTTGAGCTGGCCACCTGTCGGAATGGCCTGGACAGCTACCTTCCCCAGCCTTCTGATACTACCTGCTGCCTACAGCTGCTGCAGCCTCCAGACGAAACCAGAAAGGCCACAGTTCCTACTGCTAGCTCTCTTTCTGGCTGCCTGCGGGGTCTTGGTTTCGGATCTTTCTGTTTCTGGACTCTCATATGAACTCTTTCCCCCTGGCCCGCCCTGCTCTGCCCACACCATCGCTTCAGGTGCCATTGGCCAAGGTGGGCTTGTTTGGGTGGGAGACTCCATTTGCCTAAGGCCCCAAAGAGGAGGTGGCTGCAGGCATGTCCCAGATTGGGACATTTTCTTGTGAAAATCCAAGAACAGGACCTTGCACAAACCCACAGGCCTTATGCTGTCTCAAGCTCAGGGCCCAGAAATGTCTGCCTCATGTATGTTTTTTCATGATGTCCAGACGCCATCTAGACCTCTGTGTGGGCCTCAGGACTGGACCTGGTCCAGGTAGACCTCAAAGAAGGCCAAGTCAGTTTCTCTCTTTGAGTCAGGCTTATGCTAGTCTTCTCTTGCTTCTTAGAGCCCTAGTGACAGCCTGTGGCTGTGATGGACACAGAGTACAGGTTCTTTTCCTTCTGTTCCAGGGGCTCAGGTGTCTCTTTCCCTCTGTAGTCTGTGAGTGGAGATGCCCTCCTGCCTATTTGTGAGGACCCATGGCACAGTCACTATCCTATCCCCACCCCCATTACCCAGCTCTCCTGTGTCTAAGGGCCAGAGCTGCCTTACTGGAGACAAGGCATAGGGTCTTGTAGGTAGTCTTCTTTGGGAGACCCAATCCTGGCTGTGTTATGATACCTCCCAAAAAACCTTGCCCACTCAAACCTGGCCAGTGCTCCGTGCGGGGTCCTGTCCCCCAAGCCCTCTCAACAGTCCTAGAAGGGAGGGGAGAGCAGCATCGGGACTCTGCCCTTATGGATCTGAGAAGTGGTTGCCTGGGCTGCAAAGTGTGACTAGGGTTTTCTTGCCTTTGCTGTCCTTCTGTTGAGGATTCAGGTCTTCAGAGCTACACAGTGAAAGGTCAGTGTCCTTCCAGCCTCCTGTGACCAGCCTTGATCTGATCCACACGTGGACCTGCTGGGTTTTCCCTCAGATGCAAGCTAAGGAGGCTGGATAGGTAGCACCTGGCCTCCCAGATGGGCTGCTGGCTCCTCTGGCCCTGCCTGGGTGGTCTTGTGACCACACATCCCTGGCAGGCAGTAGCTCATTAAATGTCTGCTTCGGAGCAACTCAGAGGAGTGAAGCTACACAGTGTAGGATGAAACAGGATAGAGCAAGAGTCTGGCCAGCCCCTCCCTTCCAGACAGCCCTCCAGTGAGTGCCTGCTAGGATGGGTCCTCACATTGTGTGGCCTCTGCTTCCTTCCTTCTCCGGTTCTCTGCTCCAGCCTCGTGTCCAGTCCTGACAGATGGTATGTGTGCGCATGGCTACAGAGGCCGCAGTCAGCCCAGGAATAACTTCGTGAGCTCTTTTTCCCAACCATAGTGGCATCCTGGCAGTCTAGGATTCAAGAAGGTGGCCAGAGGGAAAGCTGTTTCCTGGGGCAAGGCATAGGTCACAGAGCCCGAGTGTGGGCCTCGTATCTACTGGTCTGAGCATTCTTTCAGCTGACTTAGGGCCCTACAATCATTGCCTTTTACTTGGGGCTGCTCCCTGGCAGATGGCAGGGAAGGACAGCACCCATGGAACTAGCCCCCTGTGGCTGAGAGGCAGAGCTGGGCTGCAGACAGCCTGAGTGCTAAGCAGTCTCTAGTATCTATCATGCTGGGGGTCTAGTGGCTCCTGAGGTTTGCTGAGGGTCATGTGACTGGGAGAGGTCACCCATCCCTTTTGATTCTGTCCTGGGGATGTTCTGCTGACATCACCTGCCCTTGTAGCTCTAGGCTGCCCCTGCAGCCAGTCTGCCAGGCCAGTGGTGTGAAGCTGATTTGTCACTGCCTTTCACTGAGCCCTTCACAGGCCCTTCACATGGGGCTGGGTGTTTAGACTGGATGTCACCACTGAGCAGATGGCTTCTGTCAGCTGAAGCCCTTCAAAGCCAGCAATTCTCGCTTTACCTGATGCTCAGTCTCTTCTGCTTTCAAAGCCAGGAGTCCTGTATCCTATTCTTAGGTACTGTTACCCAGCACACTCTGAGATCAGAGGGCCATGACCCTGACCCACCTGCCAGGCACTAGAATGGGCTTCCCCGCCTACTGTAAGGTGTACCTGAGCCCCCTCACCTATAAGAAGGACTGGGTGCTCTTCTTCTGAGCAGAACTTTCTGGAAGGCTTCTAATCCATGTCACCTCTACCTGCACCTTGGACTCTGGACCAAGCATGGACCAGCCTCAAGCTTGCATGTTTGATAGGACTTTTCTCCTGGGTGGGCTACTGTTAGAGAAAGGGTCTGGCCCTACCTCAGCTTCCTCACCTGTCTATTACACAACCCTCTTTCCAGACCTGTTCCTCTTCAGCACATGTCTCTCAGGGGTGGGGAAGACCTGATGGGCTGCTCCAACAAATTGCCAGTGGTTTCTGATTCTGAAAGAAAACAGATTCTGTTTTCTTCAGCTCTTGTGCTATGTGGCACTATACTGTCGGCGGGCCCCACTCAGGTCATTGGCAGCTCTGACTCTTCCTGCCTTTCTTGCATTTGGAGGTGTTCCTAGACCCCTGGCTTGGGACTCCTGCCAGCTTTAGGTCAGCCGTGTCCCCTAATCTGCTTTTCTTGATACAGCCCTTCTGACTCTGAGGCTTCTGCTTCCTCTGGTGGCTCCTGGTGTTAGACCATCTCCAATAAGCTGGGGCCATCCCCATCCCTGGCACTATTATAGATCTCAGAGTCCTTTCACTGTGCCAGGTCTCAGGTGCCAGAGGATGGGACGTACTCTGCCCCGTGGGTGTTCTGTGTGGGGTGAGGTGGTTCTGTTGGGATACCAGAACTGTGAGGCTTGATCAGTGTCCTTCCTCCACTCTAGCCAAATGACCCCGTCACCAACATCTGTCAGGCAGCAGACAAGCAGCTCTTCACTCTTGTGGAGTGGGCCAAGAGGATCCCGCACTTCTCTGAGCTGCCCCTGGATGACCAGGTCATCCTGCTTCGGGCGGGTGAGTAGCCAGGCCAAGTGCTGCTGGGGTGGGAGCTGCGAGTGGCGGGGTGGGCATTACCTCTGCTGTCTAGGGCTGCTTTCCCTTCCAGCTAAGAAAGTGTCTGTTAAGGGTCTCATCACACTAGCTCTGTGTAACCTCTGTAGCCTTGTCATCTTGGAAGTTCCTGGACCATAAGAGCATAAGTCCCCTCATACTCAGTGAAGGGTAGGAGTGTAGCCTTGAAACTGGGGATGGGGCTAGTGCTGCAGGCTGCCCTGGTCCTTGTTTGTGACTGGGCATTGCTGACTCGTGCTCAGATTCCACCAGGTCACCAGTAGGGGTGCTAAGATTGGGAGCCTTAGCTCAGGCTCCTACCTGTGGGGCAAATATGTTGGGTGTGACGACATCTAAGGCTCTTGCTCACTGCAGAGCTGTGGTGACCATTGACAGCCTCTGGCATCTGCGAAGGACCCTGGGGACCACACCGTTTTGAGGGGCTGAGCACCCTTACTGCTTCAGTTTTCTGCTTGCATAATGGCTCTCCTCAGCCTCAGCCCACCTCACTAGATAAAACGAGCAGAGGTGGATCCCTGTATATCATGGAATGTTTTGGAAGATACTTGGTTGGGGTGAGGCTCACACAAGCCACAACCTTCCTGCTTTCCCTTTGAAAAAACCTCTTGGTGGGCTTGGGTTGCTGAGATGAGCAAGATGGATCCTGCCGTGTATGCTGCCCCTGGCTAGGTGAGCTTGTGCCTTGTTGGAATGAGGCATGTGGCCCATTGTGTGAACCCAGGCTTCTCTGAGGCTCTGGGAAGCACTGTCCAGCAGGGACACAGCTGTCCAGGTCTTTACTGCAATGGCTGTGGAAAGAGCAAAGCCACCTGGCCTTCTAGCCTTGGAACAACTGTTCAGTGCAGGTGTTCCAATGAGCCCTTCCCAGACAACCCATGCAGAAGGGATAGCTCTAGTTGATGACCTGGTCAGTGTGGGGCTCAGATATGAGGTGAGGCAGGCTTGGCTCCACATACCCATATGGGGTCCTTGAGGTCACGTTTCTGGGAATGATCTTTAGGTTCCAAGTAAGTTGAACCTGTGGTAAGAGGCCCTGCCTCTCAGGTGCTAACTGCTTCCATTTTCCCCTTGTAAAATGTGTTAGTAGGCTTGCAGTCATGGTATAGAAACCGCGGGGCCTGGCATCTCAGGACACAGCCAGTTTCTGGAATGGCTACAAGGCTCATGCGCCACCCTGTCAAGGAACCCCTGGCTGTCTGTGTAGAGTCCTCTCTTATCTTCCTCTCCCAGGCCCTTATTTATTTGTTTGTTTGAGACAGGGTTTCTCTGTGTAGCCTTGGCTGTTCTGGACTCATTTTATAAGCTAGGCTGGCCTTGAACCCACAGAGGTCTACCTGTCTCTGTCTCTCTGAGTGCTGGGATTACAGGTGTGTACCACTCTGCCCAGCTTCCAGGCCCATTTTTAATGCTTGCACAACAGTTCTGGTTGGTGTGGTCCTGGGGCCCGGGATGCATGGCATTGGACCTGTGGCTCCAAGGTGGCTTTTCTTCTCAACACTCAACTCATGTTGCATTCCACATGGCCCAGACTGTGGCAGTCATCTCATAGCCATCCCAGGGAGAGTCATCGGAAGCCCTCCTGGCTGCTCAGAGGCAGATGCCCTCTCTGTGTACAGAAAGCTTTTGTGCTTTGCATTTGTTGTAGGGACTTCTCAGGGCCGGCGCATTGCCCGTGTACTTGGTAGAAGGAAGAGGTACTTCTGGGGTTCCATTTTGGGACCCCTGACTTGAGTGTGGAAAGAGATGAGTCTGGAACATGCTCCTTCTGGAGGTCTGGCTGAGGGTGAGGGGAAGGGACAGTGGTGGAGGGTATAGAAACAGCAGAGTGACCATATGCCTTCCCCTCCCCCAGGCTGGAACGAGCTGCTCATTGCCTCCTTCTCCCACCGCTCCATAGCTGTGAAAGACGGGATCCTTCTTGCCACTGGCCTGCATGTACACCGGAACAGCGCTCACAGTGCTGGGGTGGGCGCCATCTTTGACAGGTGGGCTCGGTGGCACCGTCTTTGATAGGTGGGTAGGGTAGGTACCATCTCTGATAGGTAGGTGGAGTGAATGCCGTCATTACTACATGAGTGGTGTGGCATCGTCTTTGATGGCCTGGTGAGTTGGGGACTGTCTTTGACTGGTAGGCTAACTGTAAATTATGTTCAACAAGCAGGTGGGCTGGGCGCCATCATCAGTAGTTGGGCCATCTTCAATAAGTACATTAGATGGGGACTATCTTTGACAGGTGTGGGACAGGCCCCTTAGTCTCCTCCTGCCCTGCTGGACACAGCCTCTGCTTAGGAAAGACATTAATGTGGAAAATGCAGGCCAGACATGTGGAGACTGCTGCCTGTGGAGCCCAGTGTCAGGGGAGTTGAGGCCACAGGCAGCCTTCCTTCTTTGTGATCTGAGTATCCCCAAGTATCACATAAACAGATTATGCCACTGGTGTGGTTTTCCAAGTGTCAACATTTGGCACATCTCAACCATAAACAGTGTTGCAGCCCCAGGGTGACCTGTGACCTGACCTATCACTCACTGTATGACTGGTGTTTTTGAAGTGCTGCTCCTAACCCCCAGTGGACCTGGATGCATGCCTCTGCACATATCTTAGAGACATGATCAAAAGAGCCGGCTGGCTGGAGTGCAGCCACATCCAAGGGCCACCTGGCCTACCCAGTTACGCTCCTGCCTGTCTGGATAGCCAGCCCTGTGTACAAGCTGAGGGCCCATGCCGGACCTCAGTGTTCTGGGGACCTGGATGTCAGTGGTTGCCAGCTCAAGCTGAGAGGCTGGGGAAAATGCAGAGGGCATAGGGTAGAACAAGAATGGGCAGACCCACAGGAGGAAGCGAGGTAGGGGCGGGGCAGGTGAGTCCCCAAGCTCCTGAAGTTGGAGGTGAGCAGAGCCACCCACCAGCACTCTGGGACAGTGAGGACAGTACACAGACTGAGCTCTTCCCAGGGAAGGCCAGCTAGAACATACAGCAGGTGTGTGAGTACAGAAAGGTGAATATGGGGCAAATGCTAACCTGGACATGCTGCCAGGCACTACAAACCTTTGACAAGCTTATGTGTGGGGCCACTCCGCGGGGGAAGGAATTGGGTCTTAGCCCTCTGGGGTCTGGTTTGGGGAAATACAGTCCTAGGCACACATGCCCAGCTAGTAATGAAGTGACAGTATAATGGTACTGGGGGCTTATGCTTATTTGTTTTGGGACTCCAAGCTTACCCTCACTGTCAAAGCAAGCAGACAATGAAGTCTGACCCAGGGCTCCTTGCTGCTGAGGTCAGAGAGTGGGGCCTAGTATTCTTCCAGACTCCACATGTGTTGAGTGGGCTAAGGACACTTGAGGGCCCCTGGAAGGGGTCCCTATCTTGCTGAGGAGGCTATGTGATACCTAGAGATGAAATAGGACTCCCACTAAGAGGCTTTGTCCCAGGGAAAGTCTAACCTGGAGCTAAGGGAATGGAGGGCAACCATGACTGGCCACTCAACTCTCCTTGGCTCAACAGTCTTGGGGTTCTTCCTCTGGGCCCTGGTTCTCAGACAGCCTTGGGAGTGTGGAGGACCCCATCCTTCAAAGGACTGTGGGCTCGTTCCTTCCTATGGCCCTGGCCTAGCCCAGTGCATCCAGCTACTCTCTGTTTACCTCATATGGCACAAGAGTCCAATGTATCTTCCTTGGTGGGGCCCTGGTAAGGACATGTCTAACATGGACCCTGGCGCCTGCTTTTTCCTTCAGGGTGCTAACGGAGCTGGTGTCTAAGATGCGTGACATGCAGATGGACAAGACGGAGCTGGGCTGCCTGCGTGCCATTGTCCTCTTCAACCCTGGTATGACCCTCTTGCCTCCCATGTGGTCGAAGGCACTCGCATCTTCCCAGCTGCTCTGCCTCATGCTTTGAGCTTCAGGGGCAGTGTCCCCATCACAGCAGACATTAATCTTGTGCCTCCCCCTTGTCTGAAGACTTACTGGAGAGGCTCAAGTGGCACTCTGTTCAGCCAGAGTATGCACTTGGCATTAGTGGACTCCAGCTGAGCCTCATGGGCTCTGCTGTCCACATCTGTCACAGTGAGCTTCACAGTGAGCTCCCAGTTTGGGCCTGGTGCTCAGTCCATCCTGTTAGGTGTCCTGACAGTAGCCAACATCATCTCAAGCTTTGACTTCAAGGGTGCATGGGCTCAGGGCGGAACAGCCTCCTGGGGATAGCCATGTCCCTTTTGTGGCTCTGGAGAGGCAGTGTTTGGGGCCTCCAAGCCATTGTTGTCACAAAGGCCAAGACAGTGTCTTCTGTGTGGTGCTGTACATGGGAGGCTGTAGTGTGAGGAGTGGACCAGGCCTGTACTCACAGCTCTGGGTTAGTGGCAGGTGCCACCGGTGTCCACTCCATATGGTGATGGAAGCATAGTGCTGCTGAGACGGTGGGATCCTTCTGGCAAGAGGTTTGGGGATTCAGGGAATGGCCCACGGGTTGTGGGCAGCTCTGACTAGGCCCTAGGACGCTGCTGAGCCTGGGACTCTTGGTACCACAAGGAGTGTGTGGGCTTTTGTGTTTGAAAGTTCATCCTTGCTGCTGGGGAGGGGGTTGCATGTGGCGGGTTGGAGGCTTGGCCAGTGGAGCGCACCTGCCCTGTCCATGGTGTGTAGAAGATAAGGAGGGACAGGGGCACAATCCTCCACCCTGATTAGCTCACCAGAATTCCTGAGCCAACCTGATAGATCCCAGGTTAGGTCTGAGTGGCCTGGCTGGACGCATGGCAACCAGGGAGACCCGGGCCTGAGGCTGTGTGGAAAGGAGGCACTGTCAGGAACCAGGTCAGTTAAAGGAGTCTGATGTATTCTAAGGATCCCCTAGACCCAGGCCCCCCTCAGTATTCACACTGGGATACTGTGCCCTGATGGTGCTGTAGCATTTCTGCAGACTGGATTGTAACCAATGTCTAGTCTCTGAGGAAGGGCTTCTGGGGCCTCTGCTCATGGTGGGGAGATACTCAGGGAGGGGCTTGCAGCTTTCTTCCTGTCATTGGGGATGGGGCTCAAGGTTAGTGAAAGCATTGGTTATCTCTTATGCCAGGTGGAGAAAAATGGGGAAACTAAGTCCCTCAAAGTCAAGACACTGATTCAGGGTCTCTTGACTTTCAAGAGGTAGAGCGGAGGCATGACTCTAGAGCACCCATCCCCCTGGTCTGAGAGCTTTGGGTCAGCAGGGCAGCCATGTCTAGCTGTGTAGCATATACATTCTCTGCTGTGTGTGCAAGTGGCTAGGATACAGCCTGGGGGCTCTGACCTGAGGCTACTTCTCTCTACAGACTCCAAGGGTCTCTCAAACCCTGCTGAGGTGGAGGCGCTGAGGGAGAAGGTATACGCATCGCTAGAGGCATACTGCAAACACAAGTATCCAGAGCAGCCCGGCAGGTGAGCTGTACCTCCATTCCCAGACAGCCCCCTGCCTCCACCGCTGGCCTCAGCAGCACCTCTCTGAAGCCCTTTGTGTGCCACAAGACACAGTGTCCTCCTCAAGACCAGCCTGGGAAGCTTTGTAGGCTCTGACAGGAGCGAGGCAGCTCTCAGGCTCATGGGCTCTGAGGACAACCTGCTTTCCTCTGTACCCAACTGAAAGAATTGATCCAGTTTCCGGTGCACAGTAGGTGCTTGCCTTTGTTCAGGAGTGTGAAACCTTCTGTTCGTCACCTGTTAAGTGGCCACAGTTTGGTGCTTTACAGCTGTGCAGAGTAGGTGGCTGAAGCCGGAGAGCACATTTTGTCTACAGGCCTAGGGAGGCCTGCATGTGCAGGTCCACAGTGCTGGGCACGGAGCTTGTAGTGTTAGGCACACTGTAGGTGTCCAGGAGAAACCATGCATTCCTTGGATTCAGTCTGAAGTTTCAATTCTACTTCTTCCCTTGTAATCTCCCAGTCTGCAGCCTGGGAGTGAAGGGGGCGGTGGGAGACTGGGCAGACAGGCACACCGACCCATCTTGTTGCCTGGCACACACATAGTTAACTGTCCACACTGCTGTTTAGCCCTCATCTGGTTTGGTTTAAAGTGAAACTTCCCGGAGGAGGACAGGAGGGTGGCAGAGGCTTGTTTTTCCTGGCTTCCTGCCTTTAGCCCATCTCGCCAGCTCAGCAGAAAACAGCCTGTTCTCTGGCGCCTCTCCAGCCTCCAAGCTACGCTTGTGCCTTTAAACTGAAGACTGCAGGGCAGCCAGCCACACGGCTTCCTCCCTAGAAATGAAGGACATTGTTAATAATTAATGAGGCCCAGAGCCCCCTCCAGTGTATAGGGAGGCCCCAAGCAGATACAGAGGTCACACGTGGGACCCCAGGTCCTGTCCCCACACCACACTGTCCTCTCTTGTCTGCCGTAACTAATTGGCCTGGATGTCCATCTCTTGAGCCGTTAGACTCCTTTCCCATGCCTATCAGTCTTGCCCAGGAAACACTCCAGAGGTAGAGGAACTCAAGGGCCTCCACAGTGCCTAGTAATCCGGCAGAGCCCTCTCTGGAGAGGGGTCTGCACAGTATACTGGGATTACTTACGGGAGGCTGGCATTCCTGCTGGAGCTCAGAATTCCCCAGCTCAGTCTGGCCCCACCTCTGGGAGGGGTCTCCACCCTGTGGCTTTTCAGGCACTGAGTACCATGCCTATTACTACCCATGAGGCTGTGCACAGATCTTTCTGTTGCCTCTTCCCAGGACATGCCCCACTCCCGCTAGAGGGACAGCTGCTCTTGCAGAGGCCTCTCTGATGCAAAAACACGTTCATGCTCTTACCTGCTCAGATTTTTGTAGTGCCTCCCCATCGCCCATGGAGCAAGCCCACACTTGTAACCTCTCTCCCAAACCCTGTTGGGCTTGTCCTGGCCAACAGGAGTCTTCCATTGGTTCTTCCTTTCATACCAGGGCCTCGTGGATCTTGATTTACCTCTCCTTACCCCACACTTAACCCTTGTGCTCTTTCGTCTCCCCTTTTAAGTTCTCATGCCTCCTCCCTGAAGGATCAGCTTAGGCAGCTTCCTCTGCAGTCCAGATGCAGGCCCCAGGCTGCTGGACTCAGCTGGTCTCCAGGGAAGTTGCAGGTCACAGGTACAGAGGAGAACATTGCCTTCCTCCTTGCCTGTGCTTATTCTCTACTATCCTGCAGGTTCGCCAAGCTGCTGCTTCGCCTGCCTGCGCTGCGTTCCATTGGGCTCAAGTGCCTGGAGCACCTGTTCTTCTTCAAGCTCATCGGGGACACGCCCATCGACACCTTCCTCATGGAGATGCTGGAGGCCCCACATCAAGCCACCTAGGCCCCTGCCACCCATGCGCCAGTCCCGCGCCCTGCCTTGACGCAGCTGCTCAGCTCCAGCCCTGTCCCTGCCCTTTCTGATGGCCCATGTGGATCTTTGGGGTTCAGTGTCCCTTGGTCCCAAAAGATGCGTTATCACCCTCGTCATCTTTATTACTGCTTGCCTCTGGCCCAGGGCCACGGCAAGAGCTGGTGTGAGACCCAGCCAGACTCCTTCCCCACATCAGCTCTTAGGCTACACTGCTGTCACCCTGAGGGGCTTGGGGTACTTCATGGGGTCTTCAGCACCTGAAGCTGCAAGAGCTAGGAGAAGGGCTTGTCTGGTTGCTGTTTGCTGTCGCTGGTTCTCGACATGCCTGTGTGGCACCTCTGTTTGGAGCGCCCCATCTTTGCCTGTTCAGAGTCCTGGTTACCCAGCTAGGGTGGGAATCCACCCAGAGTCAAGAGGGAACAGGTAGGGGCAGGTCTTATCCTCCTGGGGCATAGCTAACCTGTAAAACCTGTTTCCAAAGATACCCTGAGATATCACCCCAGCCACTGTGCAGGATTCTGGGACCACCTCAAGGCTGTGTGGGCTAGAGGTCCTCTGTCATGTCCCTCAGTTCCTTTTTGTGTCATTGTTCCCAACTATATGTCTCACCAACCCAGGGTTAGCTGATGGTAGTGGCCTGGCTTTTCCCTATCCCAAATCTTATTTTGTGGTCTGCAAGATGGCACCTAGGATCATCCTGGAGGGCTGCCCCTGGCTCATGTAGAATGGGGTTTCCTGTGGGAAGCACATGGGCTGTCCTTTTGCTGGCCTCTTGTAGGACACTGGACATCCTGAGGCTCAGGGAAGGGAGGAGAGCTGTTGTCTGGATTCTGAACAGGGGTCCTGAACAGGGGATGAACCATGCAGATGTGACAGGTGACTGTGTCCTGGTGTGGCTAACTCTCCAGGCTTTGTGCGGGCCCCTTCTTGGACTGGTCGCTTCTGTTAGGAATGCTGACGGGCCTTTCTGGGACTCCCCTTGGTATGGTGTTGTCTGTGGACAGTGTATGTCCAGAATCTTACCCAAGGGCTCTGTCACACCCGCTCGGGTGGCAGGCTATGGACTTGGGCTTCAGCCCTGTCTTGTGTAGCTCTGAGTGTGGCTCTCCAGTTGAGCAGTCTTGTTTGCACTGTAGGGCTTTCCTGGGTCCTATGATCTAGTCTCAGACCCAGGGGCCCAGGTTTGTCAGGAGCAGGTGCCTTAGTGGGTATGGCCGTACTGCCTCCCCAACTTCTCCCACTGATGCACAGCGGTAGGGGAGAAAGGCCCTCATGGACCTCAAGGACCACCTAGGGCACTGGGCCTGGAGGTAGTGGATGGGAGGAGCCAGTTTCCTGGGCTTTATGGGGAAGGGCACATTTATTTTCCACCTTTTCAAAGTTCTAAACCGTAGCTAGCTGAGGCACCTATAAAAGATTCCAGAAACATCTTCCCTGTGCTCCTTCTCTCCATGTGGTGGCATGGGAGATGTGCTTGGTTAGCCGCACAGTTCCCACAGTCTGCCTGCCCCTTCTCCCAGGCTTTCCTAGAAAATCTGTCCATCTCTTGGGGCTGGTAGTGCCAGGCAGAGCAGCAGATTCCCCAGTCCATACCCAGCACTGTGCCTTCTACAGACCTCTGCTCCCACTGTTCATGCTGGCCCTGTTTTACGCTGTGCTCTGTGGTCCTCTGAGCTGCTGAGGACCATTGGTGGCTCCAGCAGAGAAAGTCCTGGGGCTGACCCTCTGGAATGCTGCCATGTCTGGGCTTGGCTGGCTGGCAGGCACTGGGGCCTTGGCCCCTAGCCCCGCTGGCCCACATACACATAGCCTCACCTGCCACTGCTTGTCACTGTAGATTCCCTGGTGAGCTTCCTGTCCCTTTGGCCTCATTGTCACCATTGTTCTCGATGGAAGTGTGGGCATGGTGTCACTAAGGAGAGAATTGGGCGTTGTTTAACCAGACCTTCAGTCGTGTTACCAATCTGGCTCAATTAAGGTGATTGTAATTATTATTGCTATTATTATTTTGGTGGGACAATCTTTAATTTTCTAAAGATAGCACTAACACCAGCTCATTAGCCATCCTGTGCACACACCCACCTTAGCCTGGTTGGATAAAAGCTGCCACCAATGGTCATATGACTTCCACAACTGCTGCTTCTGGGCCATATTCTTCATCTCTGTCACCTCCCTGCTTGGAGATTCATTTGGGGCTCTCCTGTGGCTGAGAAGTGAAGATGACCACAGGGCCCGTGGCAGCTGCTGGCCCGTGTCACCCTGAAACAACAGTCACTGGGGGAATTTGGTCCCACCCCCACCCCCCAGTTTTCCAAATTACAGCATCCCCAAGGATACTGGGCAGCTTGGTGACAGTGCCAAGGGACACCCAAGCTTCCTCATGTGGGATCCCAGGGGACCTGGCCAAAGCAGGCAACCATGGCTAATCATCGCCGTCCCCATCACAGAATGGGGGCGTACCATCTGGTCCCCGTACACGAGTGTGGTGTGAACGTGCATGTGCTGGACGGACGCTGCGCAGAGGCTGCACGCCAGCGACGGGAGATGCGGCCCAGTTACCGATGTTCTGTGTTCTTTTTAATCAAGACTTTCCCATTTTCCTGTATATTTGCTTCTTGTGAGCAAGGACCTGAGATCCCTTCTGTGGGGAAGTCGGGCTCTGGTGACTCTGGAGGCAGGAGATGCATCTATTTTCAGATGCTGCAGGGCTGGAGTGCCCTGATCTCTAGCCATGCCTTAGCTGGGATGCGCGGCCGCTGTGGGGAGGATGCCGCGGCCGCAGGGAGTAAAGATAGAGGAATGTTTAATGCACCGGGAAGGGTAAATGAATCTATTTTTGTACAAATGTAATTTTATCCCTCATGTAAACTGGATGGCATGGCGGGGGGACCTGTTTTGTTTCTGTTTTGAGTGTCAAGAAGCGTTGGCACACCCTGATGCCGCTGAGCAGAGGAGGCCTTTCCGGGGAGGCTGAAGACTTGGGAGAACAGCACAGACAGACACTTCCTTCTGGTGGGAGGGAGGGCCGCCGCCAGCAGGGTTTCCTTCCCCTTCTTGGTGATTTGAACAACCTTGCTCTGTCCTCGGTGCCTGCCTGCCAGCCTCGCTGCAGCTCGTCTGACTGTGAAATGACTTCCCTGCGTAACTGCTCTCTGGGACATTGTGGCGCAGCCGCTGGGGGTTGATGAACAGCAGTCTCAGGATTGTAGAAAAGAAACAAAAACGTGAGAGGAGAGACAAATATGAACGTTTCGAAAATATATCTCCATTCGGTTCTCATCTGTCCTGTGTGGGGGAGTCCTGTCTTGGGGGTTCCAGACGTGCGGGGCAGTGGGACTGGGAGGCCCTGTGGTCAGCTCCAGGCCCCAGCTTCCTGCCTCCGCCTCTGGTGGGCTTCCCTCTTCCAAGTCTGCTCTGCTGTGATGCTCTACCCTGGGGCCTGTCAGAGGCCTGTTCAGACCCACTCTCTAATCCATGCGTTGCTACCTGCCCCAGCCCTGGCCTTCCTGCACCCAGCTTCTACTTCTGTGCTGGCTGCAGTGGGCAGGAGGTTCACACAGAAGGGCCCAGATATGTGGTGTCATGCAGCCGCCCGATTAATTACAGGTCACCAGTTCCCCATCTGTGCCATCTCATGATAAATGTCCTTTGTCTCCGTGCTGTCTACAGGTTGGGCTGCATCCGACCCCAGGTTTGGTGACACTGCCCTGTCATCTCATGCCTCTCCGCCCAGATGTGTTCACTCCTGAGAGGCACCGGGTACCAGTGTATAGGTGGGAGCAGGGCCTCGTGATGGTGGGCCCCTATCTGTAGCAGCTGGCCGGCAGCCTGCAGAGCCACACCCTTCGAGGCACACCATCCCATGTGCTTTCCTGCACGTGTAGCTGCAGAGCCCTATATATCGCCCCCTTGGCTGCAGAGGGCAATGGGAAGCTGGGCCCAGTGTGTTGGGGCTCAAGACCTTCCTAGTACTATTCCCACTTCCTCAGACACACAAAAAGAAAAAAAAAAACAGCCCCCCCCCCCAACAAAAAAACAAACTGGTGGTGTCTGAAATAGCCTTCCCCAGGTCCCTAGTTCATGAGACCTTGCAAGGTGCAGTTTCCTCTTTTCACTAAGAGGGATTTTGTCCTGAGCCAGGTCTTTCCCAGGTTAGAGCCGGGAAAGTGAACTTTCGGCAGTCCAGAGGTGGGGCCCCTGGAGGGTCCCTGGATAACTGAGCTGCCTACCTGATGCCTCTGGGTGATTGCAGGAACTCCACTAGCCCACGCTAGTCCTCTGTGGTAAATTCTTGTGCTCAAGGATCCTGCTGATTGGTTCCTTGGTCTGGGTCACCTCTGAGAGGAGTAGGGTCTTGTCTCGGCTTCTGTGTGGTCTCTATACTGACTTCAAGACGCATTAGAAGCTAGGGCACTCCTCTGTTGGCCCTCAACCTTCCACAGAAGTCTAGCCTCAGGAAGGACAAGGGACCCTGAAAGAGGCTCAGGTCAGGGGCAGAGCGCAAGGTGAAGCTGCCAAAGGAAGCAACAGCAGAAAGGACAGCTCTCAGGGTCCTTCATGCTGGTTTTTAGTGACCCACGGTTCGTGGGATGAGAGGGGACTTCGGCAGGTGAGTCCAGGTGGGGCCGGGCTGGCCCTAGCTCAGGTCTCCCTGGGGTGGTACGTGGGACCGAGCCCCTCCAGGACAGTACTGCAGAACGCTGTGCTAACCGAGCACACCCAGGCTGCCTGCCGGCATCACTTGGCAACCTGGTTGAAGGCTGCCTTGCTGCCTCTAGTTGCCATGGCAATGCCTGCTCAGGGCAGTCCCTCTGGACCAGAGATGCTGGGCTTGATAAGTTTATCAGCAGCAGAATCAGGTAGTGGCAGGCTGAGCCAGCCTCTAGGCCTGTGTAACCGGAGAGGCTAGGGTGGGGGCAGGGCCTCAGGTCTGGGGACACATGATGTTTGCTTGGATTATCACCAAGCCCCCAATCCCTCCCGCCTTGGGTCCTATGGCTGGTACTAGGAGCTGAGGGATAGGAAAGAACAGACCCTCCTATGAGCAAGCCATGGTGCTGTAAAAAGGGTGTGTGTGGTGGTGGTGGTAGCGGGCGCATCTGGGAGCAAATGGGGCTAGCCCTGTCTCCAGGCCCGAGGACAGCGGTGCCATGCAGTGTTTAAGTGTGTCAGCAAAGTTAGGTAGGTAGAGGTCAGAGCAGTGAGGGAGTCTGGGGATTCACAGAGGGGAGTGCTGTCTGGCTGAAGTGAAGAACTAGTTGGTCATCTGATGCAGGGGCCCAGAGAAATGCCGGGGGAGGCTTCATAGCTGAAGGCCCAGCTTGCCAGTCCTTGCAGAGCCCTTGGGGGGAAGAAGCTGCCTGGAGGGCTGTGCCAATGTGGATTAGAAGCCTGAGGCTGTGGAGGATATGCTGGGTGGCCCAGGATTGACCCAGTCATAGGCAATTTCCAAATGTGAGGTGGCACTGCCCCCTGCTGGACATATTTGGACAAGGCTGATTCCCTCCAGGCCCTTCTGGTCTCTCCTAATGCCTTGAGCTCTGCAATACACACTACCCCCCTCCCTGACCCTCCTCAATGTTAGAACACTCCAGGTGCTGGCCAGTCCCAAGGCAGACAGTTCACCATGCTGGCAAGGGCAGGGTTTGGCAGGATTGTAGCCTCTGGAATGTTCACCAGCACTCTGGGGAGTGGGCTGTGTGCAAAGCTAGGCTCATCCTATCACTAGTGCCTGATTGGCAGCAGGGCCAAAGTTGGGTCTGTTTCCTCATCTCTAATAAGGACAGGGTCCCCATGCCTCGGTCCCTGGTAACAAGAATCCTAGTCACTTGGAATGTAGCCTTTAGGTGCCACTTGCCCTTCCGCTAGTGTAATGAGGCTCTGACGCTGGCACTGGAACAGGAGTTTAGACTCAGATGCCAGCCTTGAGATCCACTTTGAAGAAGATTGGGGCTATGGGTTCAGGTCCCAGGAAAAGGCACCATTTCCCTTGCTTACTGGAAGAAGGGTCAGTAAGATGAGGCACTGTGACACCTTCAAAGGTGGACAGCGAGTTGTGGAGATCCAAGGATAGATCAGGGCTGCCTGAGGAGGGCAATTAAGGGAAAGCTTGGGAGCTGTGGAGACTTTGATAGCTCCCCTCTCTATCCATCACTGTGTCTCTCCCGCCTTCCCCTTTTGTTCCTCCTTCCCTCTCTCTTTCCCTCTCTCCCCCTACTTCCTCTCCCTTTCCTCCAACCTCTTCCTTCCCTTCCTTTCCCTCCCTTCTATCCTCACTCTATCTTGCACTTCCTTTTCCCTCCCCTTCTCCTTCCCTCTCATCCTTCTTTCATCCATTTTATGCATTCTTCCTGTAGCACATCATTTTTTTTTTGTTTAGCCAACCATTCACCTGCCATCTATTCTTCTGCTCTTCTCTATGTTCACTCAACCATTCATCCTTCCATCTGTCCATCCATCTTTCCATCTACCCATCTGTTGACTACCCATCTGTCATTGCTTAGGCCTAGGTCCTGTCCTGATGGGGTTTTACTCTGTCCCTCCAGGACAGATCAGGCACCGTAGGCCTGAATCCCTGAGACTCTGGGTTTCTTTCCTCTTGGCCCTGTCACCATTCAGTGGTGTGACCACTGCTATGAGCCAGCTCCAACATCCCAGGTACTGAAAGACGAGGGAACTTTGTCCTTTGGGGCAGTCAGCTGGAGCATCATCTTCTATCTTCCTGCTGTCAGCAGCTATCACTGTGTGGCCCAGCTTGTCTTGGGGGCAGTGGTACCCTAGTCCCTAGTGTGAGGGACAGGGAGACAGGCCTGGGGCTCAAGCCCATCTCCTGGAAAACAGACAGTGTTATTTCCTTGGCTTCAGCCTCCCACACCGTGATGTCAGGACTGCCGTGGTTAATGTGTCCTGAAGACTTATGAGAGCGACACAAAATGAGGCCTTGCCAAAGAGTAGGGTAATGACCTTCCAAGGGTGGTTAACCCAGAGATCAGGATAGAAATTGTCCAGGAGCAAAGGACCCTACTCTGGGCCAGCTGAGTAGGCCTTCACTTCCAGGCCAATACTCTGGATGAGAGCAGGTCTTGGAGGACCTCACAACTGTGGAGAAGGAGCCCTTCAGTTAGGCCCTGAAGCCCAAGGCTGGCTCTGCTTAGACGGCCAAACACAGAGAAAGAGGGCAGGATCCTCAGGATGGGTGAGGAGCATAGTTGCGGGAGCCAGCGTGTGTGTGTGTGTGTGTGTGTGTGTGTGTGTGTGTTACACACTCTAGATTCCCAAGACGAACTTGAGGGTTCAGAAAAAAGAGGGGCTGCTGCAGCTAGAGGCTTCCCATAGTCCCACTTGCTGCGCGCCTGAGGGCAGCCATTGGCAAGCAGGTTTTGAAAGACTGAAGAAGGCCCAGCAGTCACTATCCAAGGCAGGCACCTCACAGGTCTGAAAACTTACACCCACCAGAAACTCTCAGCATTGATAACACCTTTCCCCTAATCACTCCAAGCTAGAATGACCAAGATGTCCTTTGATGACACCTCTACACCACAGCATGCTGCTTAGCAATAAATGGGTTGCGGGTAGGGCTGCTAGCCCTGGACACACATGGAAGTGGCCTAAATGCGTCACACCACAGAAAGATCAAAGAGACGCCTCCGTTGAGTAACTGCATTTGTGTGCTTGGTGTTCTGCAAGGAGGAAGTCAGAGTTGGTGAAACCAGGTGGCTTTTTGTAGGGTAGTGAAGTTGTTCTGGGCTATCCAGGGTCAGGGGACACTTGTCAGCACCTCAGAGCTTTCTGGCACCATGAGAGGTGCTGTACTCAGGAGGTCAGGGACTCAGAGAGTGGAGGGTGGGGAATGGCATGGTTAGCCTGTGTCATAGGAGTAGAACCCCTCTCTGAAGGGCAAGAGAGATGGCTAAGCAGGCGGGGAGGCTGAGCAGTGGAAGTCAAGAAGGCCATGCTGGGATGATGCAGTAATTGGATTTGCAGCTAAAAGTTTGAAATCCACAAGGCTGAGCTCAGTAAACAAAGGATTGAATAAATAAACAAAGAGTGGGGAAGAGGAAGGGAAATTCCAAACAAACTTTGCCGCCCTCAGGAGATACGGAGTGGAAGCTTCCGTTCACGCCTGAGTGTGGGCCCAGCATGGTGACTTCCCTGGAGGAGCCTGGTGGGCAGGGGGGAGAAAAGTTGTCACCAAGGGCCACACTCTCTGTGATGTCACATCCACCATTGCCTGGATAGTAGCCTTTCTCACTTGACCAATACCTGAGGGAAGCAAGTAG